TAGTTACCTATTTTATACCTGTATATATGATTTTCTTGACATAGTCATGTTCACTAGGAACGGATGTCATTGGGTTTGTTGTTTGAATGCATTACTTAGGAATTCTATAGTAGAGCTCGATAAGTTTTACTTTTCTGCACTCTATTTTGAGCTTCCATCCATCCATCCATCCATCCATCCATCCATCCATCCATCCATCCATCCATCCATCCATCCATCCATCCATCCATCCATCCATCCATCCATCCATCCATCCATTTCGAGAATTTTTTTTTTAAATAATTATATGTTTTTGTGGCTTTCATGATTCGGAATAAATCAAAGTTTGCCTCATTATTTTGGATGCTTTGTCAACTCGCATTATTATTTGAAAAATTTGTATCTTACTGTGCGTTATTTTATAATGTTTTGAGATATTGCGACTCCGATAGTGAAGTCCTCTTTTATACAATTTTGTTAGACGTAGTTATCCAAAATCTTACAGAGAGAGAGAGAGTGATAGGAGTTCCCTATTTCCTCCTCTAAGTGACGCTGATGTCTAGTGAATCAGCGGCTGCGTCTATTGTGTGCATTTAATCGCAATTCTTTTTTATCCCTTTGCCACTGCATTTTACATCAGGGGAAGAGTAGACGTTGATTTCAGGGTTAAAAAACCTATATCGGAACGCTAATATCATTTAAAAGAAAACGAATCTCTGAGTTTTGTTCGCTTGAAGATTTTATGTTATAGGCCTACATGGATTTTAAAGACCTGCAGCCAGAAATAGGTGTGAGATGGCGATCGAGGATGTGTCTTTTTCTTCTATCCTTTCTTCATCTGACAAAGGGTCAGGTACGGTACTCGATCCCAGAGGAGCTAAAAATCGGTTCTCTGGTTGGCAACATTGCTCAGGACCTTGGTTTTGATCTGAAGAGGCTCCGTTCTGGTCGGGCCCGCATCGTGACGGGAGAAAACATCCAGTACATCGAGCTGAGGGCAGATAAAGGGACTTTAATTGTGAATAAAAGAATCGACCGAGAGCAGCTCTGTGGAGATACTACACCATGCAGCTTTACCTTTGAGATTTTATTTGAAAATCCAATGGAGCTTCATCCAGTTACTATAGAGGTCCTGGACGTGAACGACAACGCTCCCATCTTCCAAAATAATCACTTGAAATTTGAAATCAGCGAATCTGTAGTTGTCGGCTCCCGTTTTAGAATAGAGAGCGCGGATGATGATGATGTCGGCCAGAATGGCTTGCAGAACTACATTTTAACTCAAAACGACAATTTCGTCTTAAAACAAAATGTTAATCCAGATGGAAGTAAATATGCTGAAATTGTGCTCCAGAAAGCCTTAGATAGAGAGGTACAGCCACACCTTTCTCTAACGCTGCTTGCTGTGGATGGCGGAACCCCGCAGAAATCTGGTACGGTATTAATAGATGTTAATATTCTCGATTTTAATGACAATGCTCCGGTGTTTAATCAAACAGTATATAAGGCTACAGTGGTCGAAAATGCACCAAAGGGTACTTATGTTATCACTGTTAATGCGAGTGACATTGACAGTGGTTTAAATGCAAAAATAACTTATTCTATTTCAAAATCAAAATCAGGAAAAGCTACCCTCTTTGATATAGATGATACTACAGGAACAATATATGTGACTAAAGAAATTGACTTTGAGAAGGACAAAAAAATAGAGTTCAGAGTTGAAGCTAAAGATCAAGGAGGACTCACAGATTCAAGCAAAGTTGAAATTGAGATTATTGATGTAAACGATAACGCCCCTGTTATTAACATTATGTCATTCAATAGCCCAGTGGCAGAAGACTCACCAATCGGTACAACAATCGGTATCCTTAATGTTAAAGACTTAGATTCAGAAGAAAATGGGCAAATTAGATGCAGAATTGAAGGAAATGTTCCTTTTAAAATCAAGTCGAATGTCAGAAATTATTATGCTTTGACAACTGATGCTGAATTAGATCGAGAAACTGTTTCAGAATACAACATTACTCTTGTTTGTTCAGACCAAGGTTCAACTTCTCTTTCGACCAAAAAAATATTAAATCTAAAGCTATCAGACATTAATGACAATGCCCCTGTGTTTACAAAAAACATTTTTAGCGCTGTAGTTAAAGAAAACAACTCTCCAGGCGTCTCAATTTTAACTCTTAGTGCTCAAGATTCAGATGAAAACAGAAATGCTCAGGTTGCCTATATTTTGGAGGACAGAGACATCGGTGGGTCCCCGATTTCTGAATATATTTCAGTTAATTCACAAAGCGGCCTCATCCATGCCGTTCGCTCGTTTGATTATGAACAGATCAAGGATTTTGTTTTTGTAATTAGTGCACAGGATGGAGGTTCTCCTCCACTTCGTAATAACGTGACCGTAAAAATCCTCATCCAGGACCAAAATGATAACCCCCCACAGATTCTTTACCCAGTCCAGACTGGTGGCTCTGTGATCGCTGAAATTGTACCTCGTTCAGCAGATGTGGGCTACCTGGTGACTAAAGTGGTGGCTGTTGATGTGGACTCTGGACAGAACGCCTGGCTCTCCTATAAACTGCAGAAAGCTACAGACAGGGCGCTGTTTGAAGTGGGTTTACAGAATGGAGAAATAAGAACAATCCGTCAGGTGACTGATAAAGATGCTGTGAAACAGAGACTGACTGTTATAGTAGAGGACAACGGGCAGCCCTCTCGTTCAGCTACGGTTGTTGTTAACGTGGCGGTGGCGGACAGCTTCCCTGAAGTGCTCTCGGAGTTCACTGATTTCATACACGACAAGGATTACAACAAAAACCTGACATTTTACCTAGTGTTGGCTCTATCTGTAGTCTCTTTCCTCTTTATTACATCTTTGGTGGTTATCATATCAGTGAAGATCTACAGATGGAGACAGTCTCGCATCCTGTATCACTCCAACCTCCCTGTGATTCCATATTATCCACCACGTTACTCGGATACTTTGAGAACAGGGACTCTGCCACCCATGTGCAATTACGAGTTGTGCAGGACAATTGATTTGAAAAACAGTGACAATAAGTTATGTAGGGATGGAAGTCAGAAGATGTTAATTATGGAACCCAGTTCTGCAGGGACGATGCAGCGGATGCATGCTGAGAAGAGCATCCTGGATGAACCTGACTCTCCTCTAGAGGTGAGTTATAATTTCATGCTTTCATGTTTTACCTTAAAGTGATATAGTTTTTGGCTCTTGAAATCATCCTACTCTACCATTCCTATAGTAGCTAAGTGGTAAAGTGATTTAGAGACAGATTCCATAGAATGGGAAAGGGTATGGAATAACGTTTTCAGTGCATCAAAGAACCCCAATCACCAGTTGATTAATTTCAAGTTTTGTCATAGGGCATACTGGATGCCCATCGATAGGTTCCATGTGAAGCACACAAACAGCCTATGCTGTAGTCTATGCAATAAAGATATTCCAGGTACCTATAAACACATGGTTTGGGATTGTGAACAGGTTAATTCTTTTTGATCTATCTGAATTATTAGAATTAGAGATACCATTACAACCAAGTTTGCTGTTACTAAATGATGACTCACAGTTTGAATGTACAGAGAAACAGCAAAAAGTGTTGCTCGCAGGCCTAACAGCAGCAAAAAAAGTAATTGTTCAGAGATGGCTCCCCCCACATTGGCTTCCTATTAAAAAATGGCTGGTATACTTTCAAGATGTTATAATGATGGAACTGTCTACTGGAAGAATACATGCGGGAAGAGTATCAACCATACAAATGTTGGAAAGAACTGCAAAGGGAGTTTCAGACTTGCTGGCGAATCACGCACAATGAGATGTCTCACATGCTTTGTCCTTTTTATTTATGTATTTCTTTTATTTGTATTGGGTCATGTGATTTGTATCTAAGGTTGTGGTGGGGCGGGTGGGAATTAATCACTGACTTTGTAATGTTCCTGTTTTCCAGCTTGGGAATTTTTTCTCAAATAAAAAACACTGAATCACAAAAAAGTGATATAGTTTAAATTTAAAAATGTAAATATAACTCCTAAGGAAATATAAAAATTATAGTTTCATTAATTTAGGTATTTAAGCATAACTTAAATTATTCATCAGAAAGAGTAATGTGTCATTCCATTCTTCTGCATAACACTATATTTGAAAGAAACTTCTCATAGTAAAATGGCTGTTTCATGTTGTAAACGTCTTTTTTTAGTCCATGGAACAATATTAAAAATATGACGAAAGCGCTGCACCGCAAAAAAAGAAAAAAAAAGAAAGAACAATCAAAATATCAAAATAAATGATAAAATCAAAGCAAAACAAGTTGTTTTTAATATTTTTTATTCCATCTCGAGCAGCAGAAGAAACGTAAAAATCACTCCACCATTTGCACTTTGACCGGTGTGCTTCAAGGAGCAAGAATAATAATCAAATAGTAAAACCTAAAAATGTTAAATTAAAGTCAAAATAAATTAAGAAGCTATGCAGTGATATACCTGTTAGAAATTCACTGGAATAAAAGACGCGAAGTTTCAGACGTCCGGAAACTCCTGTCATACTTGTTATCAGGCATCCATTTAATCTGTTTGATAAATTGCACAAACTACCAGTGCCCCTGGGTAATTTAATGTTTAATTGCAAAGTTCTGTTTTATTTATCTGATTCTACAATTATTCATTGTCGATTTATTCAATAATTTGATTTATTTAATTTCGTATTTTTTCAACGGTGATGGAAAAATATGTCCTTACTCAACATAAAAGAACTTTAAAAACCCGATTTTTTTATGCTTATAGATATTTTTATCATTAAAATTATAAGAAAAATGAGCATGATTATTTGAATTACGTGTGGGAGAAATCGAAATCATGTTTTTCTTTTTTTAGTGCCCTTTAATCTGACAAATTATAAATGATTTCTAGTCTTTGAGAGTCTTTTGATGTTTCTCATTCAGACTCTAAGCGACGCTGTTGGTCAGTAAAAGATTTTATGTGCATTTTGTATCCAAGCCTGTCTTCATAGGGCATGCAGAGGAGGAGGCTCTCTTTAGTTTGTTCTGAATTTAAAGGGCTGGTTCTAACCTACTGACGAAAGAATAACTGTTTTTTTCTTTGTTTCTTTTACCAAGACAAAGAATATAAAATTCAATTTTAAGCAACAGTAGAAGAAATATACCTTTGGACCGAATCTTTTTATTTTTCTCTTCAAATGATGGGAAATTTAAGACGCGTTTCTCTCCGGTGGATACAATGGCGACTATTTACCGTACTGCAGCGGCAAATCGGACTGCTTGTTTTTCTGCTTCATTTTATTTACATTGTAGATGGACAGATTCGTTATTCTGTACCAGAGGAAATGAAGAAGGGCTCTGTCATAGGTAATGTGGCACAGGATCTTGGTTTGGATGTGAAAAGGCTCCGATCTGGACGCGCCCGTATCGTGACGGGAGAAAACGTTCAATACACCGAGCTGAATACAGACAAAGGGATCCTTCTTGTGAACGAAAGAATAGACCGGGAGCAGCTATGTGGGGACACCACACCATGCAGCTTTAGTTTTGAATTAATACTGGAAAATCCGATGGAACTGCACAGAATAACTGTAGAGGTTTTGGATATAAATGATCACGCTCCGGTATTTCCAAGCAAAGATAAATCAATCAGGTTTGAGGTAAGCGAATCAGCTGCCATAGGAGTGCAGTTTCCACTGCAGACCGCAGAGGATTTAGATGTAGGCCAAAACGCGTTGAAAGATTATGTTCTGTCACCAAATGACAATTTTATTCTAAAACAACATGTAAACCCAGACGGAGGTAAAAATATTGAAATGGTGCTGCAAAAGCCTTTAGATAGAGAACAACGTCCTAATCTGCATTTTAAACTAATCGCATTGGACGGAGGAACACCGCAGAGATCTGGATCGGTGAATATAGATGTGACTGTATTAGATGCTAACGACAATATTCCTGTTTTTAACCAATCGGTTTATAAAGCTTCTGTGGTAGAAAACACAATTAAAGGTACAAGTGTTATTACTGTGAATGCCACAGACGCTGACAGTGGATCAAACGGGTTAATCGCTTTTAGTTTGTCTAAAACAAAAGGAAGTGCTGCAGATATTTTTAGCATTGATAATAGTATGGGCACTATTTATGTGTTTGGTGAAATAGATTTTGAGAAACAGAAAAAATATGAGGTGCGAGTTGAGGCAAAAGATCAGGGTGGATTAATCGGGACAAGTAAAGTTATAGTTGATGTTGTTGATATCAATGATAATGCCCCAGTGATAAGTGTAATGTCTTTTTCCAGTCCAATATTAGAAAACGCCCCTGTTGGTACAACAGTCGCTATTTTGAACATAAAAGATGCTGATTCTGACAAAAATGGTCGAATTAAATGTTCATTAGAAGGAAACATTCCTTTTAGAATTGAATTATCTTTAACAAATTATTACAATTTGATATTGGATCAAGAGTTGGACAGAGAATCTGTCACAGATTATAACATAACGATAAAAGCTACCGATTTTGGTTCTCCTCCTCTGACTACTTCGACAAAATTGCATCTTAAGGTATCGGATGTTAATGACAACGCTCCAGTGTTTGACAAAAGTAGCTATTCTGCCTACATCATGGAAAATAATCCACCGGGCTATTCCATATTTGCTGTTTGTTCGCGGGATTCTGACTGGAATCAAAACGCTAGAATATCTTATTTTTTAGAGGACACACAGGTCAATGGTAATCAAGTTTCTGCATATATATCTTTAAACGCTGAGACCGGAGTTCTGACAGCACTGCGGTCGTTAGATTATGAGCAAATAAAAGAGTTTCAGCTTGTGGTCAAAGCGCAGGATGGAGGCTCTCCTCCACTCAGTAGTAATGTGACCGTGAAAATCCTGATTCAGGACCAAAACGATAACCCCCCACAGATTCTTTACCCAGTCCAGACAGGTGGCTCTATGGTTGCTGAAAGGGTGCCTCGTTCAGCAGATGTGGGCTACCTGGTGACTAAAGTGGTGGCTGCTGATGTGGACTCTGGACAGAATGCCTGGCTCTCCTATAAACTGCAGAAAGCTACAGACAGGGCGCTGTTTGACGTGGGCTTACAGAATGGAGAAATAAGAACAATCCGTCAGGTGACTGATAAAGATGCTGTGAAACAGAGACTGACTGTTATAGTGGAGGACAACGGGCAGCCCTCTCGTTCAGCAACAGTTATTGTTAACGTGGCGGTGGCGGACAGCTTCCCTGAAGTGCTCTCAGATTTTACTGATTTTTCACATAAGGAGTACAATGAAAATCTGACTTTTTACTTGGTATTGGCCCTGGCTGTGGTCTCATTCCTCTTCATCACATGTTTGGTGGTTATTATATCAGTGAAGATCTACAGATGGAGACAGTCCTGCATCCTGTATCACTCCAACCTTCCTGTGATTCCTTATTATCCACCACGTTACTCAGACACTTTGGGAACAGGGACCCTTCCACACGTGTACAATTACGAGGTGTGCAGGACCACTGACTCCAGAAAGAGTGACAGTAAGTTCTGCGGAACCGGTAGTCAGAACGTGTTGATAATGGAGCCCAGTTCTACAGGGACAATGCAGCGGATGCACAATGAGAAGAACATCCTGGATGAACCAGACTCTCCTCTAGAGGTGAGTGCAGAGTTTGTTTTTGCCCTTTTACCTAGTAATCAGTTATTCAGAAAAAAAGGTACAAAACACAATTCCATTGTCACAGATTGGACAGTTCAATGATTAATTCACGTGCTCAATGCTGTGAAATACAGAATATGTGTAATTTACAGTTCAATGTGCCATACTGTATCATTTCACCGCATAACGTGAAATGTATCGGAAGGTTGTGTTCGGAAAAATGGTTTTGACACGTTGTAAGCTTTTATTTAGCTATAAAAAGGGTAAAACTTATATTTATATGGCACTATGCAAAGTTGCCAAAAATTTTGTTCCAAGCCAAACAATACAGAGGACAAACAAACAAAACATAAAAAAACGAGAAATACAATATAGGTGAACGCTAGTCTCTCTTAGAACTGATAGAATTTATGTTTTTACTTTTTTCCTGCATGTTTTGCATTTATGAAATTAAACGTGACTGTCATTGAAGGGTCGCACTCTTTTCAGGACCATGGACAGCTACTAACAATGAAGCTCTCAATAATTTTTATAAGGAAATTCACATTCACTGCTTTGACAATGTGAATTACATGACTGTTTGCTGACCTTTTCCAGTTATATATATATATTTTATTTATTTTTTTCTTAGATTGGACTGAAAGGACTAAGGCCTCCGTACATGGGTCATGCGTGCTAACTGCTGCGGCACCTGCACCCCCATGGACTGAGAGCAATCTGAGTGTTTTTTTGCTGTTGGTCGTTTCTGGTAGTTTTAAGTTAATAGTCCAGTGTAAATCTTAATCTTAGTGTAACAAAGTTTAACTATTCTGTGGCTTGTCTGTAATATTCGAGTGGGCATTATGTGTTTTTAAAAGTTGTTTCTTTTAAAACCACCAAACTTATTATTTCGCATGATACCGCGAATCTGCAATATTAAAGTCAGTCCACATGATTATTTATTGATTGATTGACTGCTTCAGGTATTCTAGCGGACAATGCCTTGTTACAAATTAAGACCTTTTTAAGGTTTGACTGCTCAGCACCTTCTGAATCTTTTGCTCCTACATATTTCCATTTGTTTACGATTAGTGCGTCTAACAGAAGCAGTAGTCTGAGCTCCACATTCCGCATTTTATTGTTAGTTCTTGTTAATTTTTTGTTACCGTGGGTTTTGCATTTTTAAATAGTAATAGAACGATTTTATGACACACTGATTATTTCTGTATGAACAATATTTTTTTCATCTACAATCAGTGTCTAAATTCTTCTCATTACAAGAATCCGTTGGTATAACCTATTCTGTACTCTAAGTGACGCTGTTGGTCAACCTAACATTTAAGGCGCAACCTCTATACACATTCCCCTCCATGTATAATGCGTCATTTCAGAAAGAAGGGGATGCCTTTTTCATCCGAGCTTTATCGGGGAAAAGAGATTGCCAATCGGATGCAGGAAGGATATCTGTATATCATTGTTTTTTTCCTGCTGTTATTAATTTCCTTTTAAAATAAAGCTTTTTGGACTACTTTAAATTATCCATTTCTTTTCAAAATCTTGTGGCTATGGTTCTGGAAATACCAAACCACATTCGATGGATAAAATGGCACGATGGCGTCGGACATATATTTTTTTTATACTTTGTTTCTCTGTGTTTATTCTGCCATTTTGTGGCCGGAAATATCAGGTATTCTATTCCAGAGGAAATGAAGAGAGGCTCTGTGATTGGTAATGTTGCGCAGGACCTCGGTTTGGATCTGAAAAAGCTCCGTTCTGGCCGTGCCCGTATCGTAAGTGAAGAGAGCGTCCAGTACGTCGAGCTGAAGGCAGACAAAGGGCTTTTGGTGGTGAAGGAAAGAATCGACCGGGAGCAGCTTTGCGGTGACACAACACCCTGTAGTTTCAGTTTTGAGATGATTTTAGAAAATCCAATGGAGCTACATGAAATTACAGTCGAGATCAAAGATATAAATGACAATTCCCCGACGTTTAAAAGAAACAGCATGGATTTTGAAATAAGTGAAATCGCTACTACTGGCGCTCGTTTCTCGCTGATAAGTGCAGAAGATTTAGATGTGGGTGTGAACGGACTAAGAGAATATTTGTTAAGCGATAATGATAATTTTATTCTAAAACAACATTCAAATGCGGATGGAAAGAAATATGCAGAGATGGTTCTGCAGAATCCATTAGACAGAGAAACAAACCCAAACCTGTCCTTAAAGCTGATCGCCGTGGACGGAGGAACGCCTCAGAGATCTGGTACCGTTAATATAAATATTTTGATTCTTGATGCTAATGACAATGTGCCTATTTTTAACCAGTCTGTATATAAAGCGGTCGTCATGGAAATGTCTCCTAAAGAAACGTACGTCACAACTGTTAATGCTAGTGACAAAGATTCTGGTTCAAACGGTATTGTAACATATTATTTTTCAGACCTCGACAGTGCTCTGGGTGAATTGTTTTTAATTGATGAAAATACGGGAATAATATCCGTTAAGGGCGATATTGATTATGAAAAGGACAAAAAGTATGAACTTAGAATTGATGCTAAGGATCAAGGAGGACTGACTGATTCAAGTAAAGTAGTCATTGAAGTCATCGATGTAAATGATAATGCCCCTATTATCAACGTCATGTCGTTTACCAGCCCCCTGTCAGAGGATTCTCCTCCTGGAACAACTATTGGTATAATTAATGTCAAAGACCTGGATTCAGGTGATAATGGTAAGGTTAGCTGCACAATTGAAAGAAATGCTCCATTTAAAATCAAGTCTAATCTAAAAAATTATTACACTCTGACCACAGATTCTGTATTAGATCGTGAAAGTGTATCAGAATATAATATTACCGTATTTGCCACTGACAGTGGAGTACCTCCCCTGTCAGCTAAAATAAGCTTTAACTTAAGCATTTCTGATGTGAATGACAATGCACCAGCCTTTTTACAAAGTTTCTACACCGCTTTAATAAGGGAGAATAATTCCCCTGGTACCTCAGTTCTAACACTATCAGCTAAAGATCCTGATGAGAAACAACACGCACGTATATCCTATACACTGGAACAAGCAACTGTTGCAGGATCCCCAATATCTGAGTATGTTTCCGTAAATGTACAAAATGGAGTAATTGATGCAATTAGGTCATTTGATTATGAACAAATTAAAGAGCTAGTTTTTATTGTTAAAGCACAGGATGGAGGCTCTCCTCCACTCAGCAGCAACGTGACTGTGAAAATCCAGATCCAGGACCAGAACGATAATCCCCCTCAGATTCTGTACCCTGTCCAGACAGGTCTCTCCATGGTGGCTGAAATGGTGCCTCGTTCAGCAGATGTGGGTTACCTGGTCGCTAAAGTGGTGGCTGTTGATGTGGACTCTGGACAGAACGCCTGGCTCTCGTACAAACTACAGAAAGCTGCAGAAAGAGCGCTGTTTGAAGTGGGCTTACAGAATGGAGAAATAAGAACAATGCGCCAGGTGACTGATAAAGATGCTGTGAAACAAAAACTGATCGTTATTGTAGAGGACAATGGGCAGCCCCCTCGATCAGCTTCAGTTTCTATTAACTTGGCAGTGGCAGACAGCCTTTCTGAAGTGCTCTCTGATTATCCTAATTTTCCACACGATAAGGAGTACAATGAGAACCTTACTTTTTACTTGGTGTTAGCTCTGGCTGTGGTCTCCTTCCTCTTCATCACATGTGTGGTTGTTATTGTATCAGTGAGGATCTACCGATGGAGACAGTCTCGGATCCTCTATCACTCCAACCTCCCAGTGATTCCTTATTATCCACCACGTTACTCGGACACTTTGGGAACAGGGACTTTACCACACGTTTACAATTATGAGGTGTGCATGACAACTGACTCCAGAAAGAGTGATGCTAACTTCAGCAGAGCTGCTAGTCAGAACCTATTGAATATGGCCCCGAGTTCTACAGGGACAACTCAGCGGTTACAGAGTGAGAAGAGCATCCTGGATGAACTAGACTCTCCTGTTGAGGTGAGTGACAATACTGTTATTTTGCATTTGTACCTAAAGTTATCACTTTAAGAAGCATTATAGTAGTACAGAACATTGTTGGATTGTAACAAACAGGATGTTTTTTTTTATTAATTTAAATAGTACATATCTTTTATTAAGCTTTGAAAATATATGGGAGATTAGACAGCAGTATGTCTTATCATTTCACTGCAAAATGAGAAGTAACATTTTCAAGGGCAAAATGGTTTTGACATGATTTTATTTACTGTTTGTGTCTCCAGATCTAGCAACAAAATATTTTCACTATATTCAAAGAATTTTTGAAAGCTCTTCAAAGCTTAATTAATTTAAAAATACACAGCCAAAATGTAACAGCTAAACAGGAAAATACCAGACCTATGTCCTCCAGCAATCTAAGCCTGAAGCAGCACAACTATAGAGATAACTAAGAATAACCTTAGCCACTATAAGTTTAAGCTTTATCAAAAATGAAAGTTTTAAGCCTTCCCCTAAAAGTAGAAAGGGTGTCTACCTCATGGAGTAAAACTAGTAGTTGGCTCCACAGGAGAGGAGCCTGATAACTAAATGATCTGCCTCCCATTCTACTTACAGAAATTCTTTGAACCACTGGTACACCTGCAGTTTGAGAGCAAATTGCTCTGTTAGGAACATAAGGAAAAATCCTATCTCTGATGTAATATGGAGCTTGGCCATTTAAGGCTTTATATGTGAGAAGGAGGATTTTAAATTCTATTCTGGATTTAATGGGAATCCAATGAAGAAAAGCTAGGATAAGAGAGATATATCTCTTTTTAAATTTCATCACAACTCTGGCTGCAGCATGTTGGATCAGCAGAAGGCTTTTAAATATAGTTTAGGACTTCCTGATAGTAAAGCATTACAATAGCCCAGCCTTGAAGTAACGAATGCAAGGACTAGTTTCTCAGCATCACCTCCTGACAGGATACTTCTACTTTTTGCAATATCCTGCATATGAAAGGAAAATCTAGACATGTCTTTGATATTGGATTTTAATAACAGGTCCTGATCAAAAATACAAATTTTTTTCAACTTGATTATATGAGATGAATTGAATCCCATCTACACGAAGTGCCTGACTAATCAGCTTAATTTTGAAAAAATCTGATCCAAAAACTATACCTCCTGTTTTGCCTGCATTCATGAGCAGAAAGTTAAGGGTCATCCAGGTTTTTATGTCTTGAAGACATGCCTGTAGTCTGTCATGATCTTATCTAAAGCTCGGACCCACATGCAGAGAAACCAATTCAGAGAGACCAGGGAAAAGGTTCAACATGTTTTATTGAAGAAGTTAAACAGAGGGAGAAGTGTTGCTCTGAACACTGCTCAACCGGAACTGTAAAGTGAGGGGAAGATACAGTTCAGGCTCAGTGGGGAAATTGACTTGTGAACTTGGCGAAGAGGATTTTGTTGCTGACTCACGTTTCCAGAGAAGTTGTTGAATCCTTGACTCCTGTCTGTGTGCCGTGGTTCCAGTGTTTGTCTGATTCAGTGGAGGGCGGAACAGGATTTACCCAGAATGCGGTTGATTGTTGGTGAACGGAGAAACTGACTGCCATTCAGATTTCCTGTGGTACTTGAATGGGTCGTAATAGAGAATAATCCCTTTCTCGGTGAGAAGCTCAAACGATCTCTTGGCGAAAGTGGATCCAAACCTCCTGTTTTAACCCCAGCTCAGTTTGAAGCTCAGTTGATCCTTCCAGGGAGTGAAGGTCCGAGAAACCCAGTTTGCAGGATGACTTCCTGCCAAGAGGCAAAGACAAAAAACAAAGTTAAACTCAGGTTGACTAAAACTCAGCTTGGCTAGAGTACCCTAAACTGGCAAACACTCTGGTGTAGAAGTAGTGGCAGTCAGCAGCTTAAGAACACTCCGTTTAACGAGGAAACCATCAGCAGGTGTGTGAGGAGGCGGACCAGAACCAGGCGCCTCCTGGTGGATGAAGAGAGACAAACACAGAAACACAAAAACAGGAGTCCTGACATAGTATAAGTAATGGGTTAGCTTCATGTGGCTTATAGATCAGATGTAAATGAGTATCATCAGCATTACAATGAAAATTAATCCCATGCTGTCTATTAATTGTACTGAATGTTGAAATGCTTTATATATAATGAAGAGAATTGGTCCTAGCACTGATCCCTACAGTACTTCACAAGTAACCCTGGACCAATAAACATGAAAAATTTAATAAAAACACATTCGAAAAAAATACAGCTTGAACCAACCCCATTCTCTTTTGTATACAAATTTTTATAATCTTGTCATGATTTAATTAAAGGTCTGACCCAAAATGCAGAAGTCCAAACAGAGATAGAGAGATGAAAAGTTTAACCGGTTTTATTGAAGAGATTAAGCACGGTGCAGTGTTGGTCCGAACTCTGCCCTGCCAGAACTGGAAGGTGAGGGGAAGACAGACTATTAGTTCAGGCTCAGTGGGAAATTTCATTCGTTGATTTGAAGAAAAGGATCTGGTTGTTGACTCACGTTTTCAGAGAAGTGAAGGACCTTTGACTCCAATCTGTGTGTTGGTTTCCAGAGTTTGTCTTATTCGGTGGAGGGCGGAACAAGGTTTACCCAGAACTCGGACGGTGTAGGTGAACAGAGATGCTGATTGCCACTCAGATTTCCTGCTGTACTTGAACGGGTCGTAGTGAAGACGATTCCCTTGCTCAGAGAGTAATTTCAACGTCCTCTCAAGTAGACTGGATCCAAACCTCCTGTTTGAATCCCCGGCTCAGTTTAAGGCTCAGTTGATCCCTCCTGGGAATGGAGGTCCGTAAAAGGTCCAGTTTGCAGGATGACTTCCTGCCAAGAGGCAATGACAAAAAACAAAGTTAAAACTCAGGTAGACAAGAACTCAGTCTTAATCAGCAAAATCTCAGCTTGGCTAGAGTACCAAAAACTGGCAAAACACTCTGTCGTCGAGGTAGTGGCAACCAGCAGCTTAAGAGCACTCTGTTAATGAGGTAACAGTCAGCAGCTGTGTGAGGAGGCGGACCGGAACCAGGTGCCTCCTGCTGGTGGAAGGGGACAACACAAAAGACAAACACACAGACTGAAGTCCTGACAAATCTGTTAATTCATTCTGTCAAAACATTCACCTTCCAGACACTTGGGTTTTTAGCCATTTAATGGCCAATATTAGGTGTCATTAGTCTAATAGGAAGATGCCTTCAGATTTTGCGTCCTACCTCCGAGGAGAATCAGTAGGTTGTCATCACCCAATAAATCCTAACCCTAAGGTAATAACTTGTTTGCCTGCAGACATCGTCACTGAAGGCTTTAACTATTTTTTTATCACCATGGATAGCTATTGAAATGGAAACAAAAAAATTAAACATATGTGGTCACTGTCACTGCTTCGAAAATGTGAATTGCACTACGGTGTAATTATGTTATGTGATGCTTATATTTTGAAATTTTATGAGTTTGGATTGAGAAATCTATGAATGCTTTACTTGAGTATAACAGGTTTTAGAGTTATTTTTTTCAGTTGCGGGTCATTTAATTTACATTTAAGTTAAGTTTGTAAAAACATTTTTAACTTAATTAACTTTAAATGTTTGGGGCTTGTCTTAACTTTTTGAGGGCATTCTGTGATCTTATATATATATATATATATATCAAAAACAGGGCTACAGTATCATAATCAACATTAAATTACACTTTTACTCATATGCAGGTTACATTCTTCTGAAAAAATGTTCTCTTACATTGGAACTGAGATTTGTTACTTTTTGGAATTTTTTTTTTTTTTTTTTTTTTTTTTTTTTTTTTTACTTATAGAATCGTTTTGGTTAATACATATTTTGATCCAGTTGTAAATGCTTGGTTATTTTATCGTGGATAGACAACGGGTGTTTGTATCACTTATTCTGAACTCTAAGTGACGCTGTTGGTTTAAATATAAGGCGTATACGCATTCCCCTCCTTTTATTTAGTGTCCTATCAGAGGAAAGGAGATGCTTTTTTTTCATGTAAGCTGTTATGGAGTGGGTGAGACATTGCAGTGGGGCTCAGAAATTTTCTTAAAAGGCATTCGTTTTTTCCCTGCAGAAGAAAGGTATTTGGAGTAATATAAATTTTACATTTCTTATAAGTTTCTCCTCATAATGGCTCCTGAAAAACCAAACCACATTCGATGGATAAAATGTAGCGTCGGACATATTTTTTTGTTATTTTTTTTCCTGTGTTTTATCTGCCATTTCGCTGTCGGACACCTTAGATATTCTATTCCAGAGGAAATGAAGAGAGGCTCTGTGATTGGTAACGTTGCGCAGGACCTTGGCTTGGATCTGAAAAAGCTCCGTTCTGGCCGTGCCCGTATCGTAAGTGGAGAGCGCATCCAGTACGTCGAGCTGAAGGAAGACAAAGGGCTTTTGGTAGTGAAGGAAAGAATCGACCGGGAGCAGCTTTGCGGTGACACAACACCCTGTAGTTTCAGTTTTGAGATTATTTTAGAAAATCCTATGGAGCTACATCAAATTACAGTCGAGATCAAAGATATAAATGATAATTCCCCCATGTTTAAAAGAGACCGCATGGATTTTGAAATAAGTGAATCCGCTACTGTTGGCGCTCGTTTCTCGCTCATAAGTGCAGAAGATTTAGATGTGGGAGTGAACGGACTAAGAGAATATTTGTTGAGCGATAATGATTATTTTATTCTAAAACAACATTCAAATGCGGATGGCAAGAAATATGCAGAGATGATTCTGCAGAATCCATTAGACAGAGAGACAAACCCAAACCTGTCCTTAAAGCTGATCGCCGTGGACGGAGGAACGCCTCAGAGATCTGGTACCGTTAATATAAATATTTTGATTCTTGATGTTAATGACAATGCACCTATTTTCAACCAGTCTGTATATAAAGCGGTCGTCACGGAAATGTCTCCTAAAGAAACGTACGTTATAACTGTTAATGCTAGTGACAAAGATTCTGGTTCAAACGGCCTTATAACATATTATTTTTCAGACCTTGACAGTGCTCTGGGTGAGTTGTTTATTATTGATGAAAATACAGGAATAATATCCGTTAAGGGCGATATTGATTATGAAAAGGACAAAAAGTATGAACTTAGAATTGATGCTAAGGATCAAGGAGGACTGACTGATTCAAGTAAAGTAGTCATTGAAGTCATCGATGTAAATGATAATGCCCCTATTATAAACGTCATGTCCTTTACTAGCCCCCTGTCAGAGGATTCTCCTCCTGGAACAACTATTGGTATAATTAATGTAAAAGACCTGGATTCAGGTGATAATGGTAAGGTTAGCTGCACAATTGAAAACAATGCTCCCTTTAAAATCAAGTCTAATCTAAGAGATTATTACACTCTGATAACAGATTCTGTGTTAGATCGTGAAAGTGTGTCAGTATATAATATTACCGTATTTGCCACTGACAGTGGAGTACCTCCCCTTTCGGCTAAAATAACCTTACATTTAAAAATTTCAGATGTGAATGACAATGCTCCAGTCTTTCTACAAAGTGTTCTACACCGCTTATATAAGAGAAAATAATTCCCCTGGTACCTCAGTTCTAACACTGTCAGCTAAAGATCCTGATGAGAAACAACACGCTCGTATATCCTATACACTGGAACAAGCGACTGTTGCAGGATCCCCAATATCTGAGTATATTTCTTTAAATATAGAAAGTGGAGTGATAGAAGCAATCCGCTCTCTTGATTATGAACAAATTAAAGAGTTAGTTTTCGTTGTTAAAGCACAGGACGGAGGGTCTCCTCCTCTTAGCAGCAACGCGACAGTGAAAATCCTGATTCAGGATCAGAACGATAACCCCCCACAGATTCTTTACCCAGTCCAGACAGGTGGCGCTATGGTGGCTGAAATGGTGCCTCGTTCAGCAGATGTGGGCTACCTGGTCGCTAAAGTGGTGGCTGTTGATGTGGACTCTGGACAGAACGCCTGGCTCTCCTATAAACTGCAGAAAACTACAGACAGGGCGCTGTTTGAAGTGGGCTTACAGAATGGAGAAATAAGAACAATCCGTCAGGTGACTGATAAAGATGCTGTGAAACAGAGACTGATCGTTATAGTGGAGGACAACGGACAGCCCTCTCGTTCAGCAACAGTCATTGTTAACGTGGCGGTGGCAGACAGCTTCCCTGATGTGCTCTCGGAGTTCACTGACTTTTCACACGATAAGGAGTACAATGACAATTTGACTTTTTACTTGGTGTTGGCTCTGGCTGTGGTTTCCTTCCTCTTCATCACGTGTTTGGTGGTTATTATATCAGTGAAGATCTACAGATGGAGACAGTCCCGCATCCTGTATCACTCCAACCTTCCTGTGATTCCTTATTATCCACCACGTTACTCAGATACTTTGGGAACAGGGACTCTACCACATGTGTACAATTACGAGGTGTGTAGGACGACTGACTCCAGAAAGAGTGACATCAAGTTCTGCAGAGCTGGTAGTCAGAATCTGTTAAATATGGACAGCAGTTGTACCGGGACAATGCAGCGGATACAGAGCGAGAAGAGCATCCTGGATGAAACTGACTCTCATTTAGAGGTAGGTCAGCGATCATAGCATTATGCATGGCACTACTTTTCCTGTAATTCTTTCTCCTGTGTCAATTTTTATCCTGGTATACAGTTGTTTTATATCTCAGCACCAGGGACAGCACCTTTTTTCGGTCAGTTTAAAAATAAATCTATGAAGTTTTTAGCTTCTGCTTACTTATATTTAGTTGGTAATAATTGCTTTAAAGATTTTTAATCCGTTTTATACAATTTTTGTATTTTTAATACTATCAATATTCCTTTTTTTTTTTTTTTTTTTTTTTTTTTGTCTAACCGTTTATTCCTCTTCATATGTTAACGATAGAAACGTGTTTTTACCAGCTTCTGAAAACAGGGAGTTCACAAGTTTTATAATTTACTTTCATTTAATTAATTTAATTTTGTCTTTCAGAAGTGTATTACGTTATGCCATTATATTATTATCATGGTCGTAGTGATTCAATGTCGATCATTTATACTGAACATTTATATTAAAGATCGTATTTTTAATTTGATCCAGAAAATTTTGATTTTATTCATTTATATTAAATTTAAAAACTGCCTTGATGTTACTCATTCTGAACTGTAAGGGACGCTGTTGATCAAGACAAATCCTCTCTAGCAGCCTACCCGCTTATCCCTCTCTTACTTTCTTGTGGCCTTTATGAGAATAAGGGGCTTGTTCATTTCTCCACAAATTCGGAAGAAGGCAACAGACTACATCATTAAACGACCTTGGAAATAAGAATCCAATTTACCTCTTGATATTCAGATGCATTTGTGTATATTTTTAGCTTAATTTTTTCAGCTTAATTTTTTCACTGTCTAAGGAATATTTTTGCATCTGTCATACTATGTTGCGTGGAATTCCATTCTGCACTGGATTACCAAAATGGCGGTTTTGCTTCGCAGAGAATTTGCTGCATCTTTTTTTCCTTTGTTGCATCTGCCATTGTGTTACTGGACATATCAGATATTCGATCCCGGAAGAGATGAAAAAAGGCTCACTGATCGGTAATGTGGCACAGGACCTTGGTTTGGATTTAAAAAGACTCCGCTCTGGTCAGGCCCGTCTCGTAAGCGGTGAGAGCGTCCAGTACACCGAGCTGAAGGTAGACAAAGGGGTTTTACTGGTGAAAGAGAGAATCGACCGGGAGCAGCTTTGTGGCGAAATAACACCGTGTAGTTTTAGTTTTGAGATTATTTTAGAAAACCCTACAGAATTGCATCAGATAACAGTTGAGATTACAGATATAAACGATCATTCCCCGACGTTTAAAAAAGGCAACATGGATTTTGAAATTAGTGAATCTGCCTTAAACGGCGCTCGTTTTCCATTAGCGACTGCAGAAGACCTAGACGTTGGTGTAAATGGAATGAGAGAGTATTTGTTAAGTGAAAATGATCATTTTGTCCTCAAGCAACATTCGAACGCAGATGGAAAGAAATACGCAGAGATGATACTTCAAAAGCCTTTAGATAGAGAGACAAACCCAAGTTTGTCTCTCAAACTGGTTGCTGTGGACGGGGGAAATCCCCCGAGATCTGGAAGCATAAATATTGATGTTGTTGTTCTGGACGCTAACGATAACGCACCTATATTTAATCAGTCGTTGTACAAAGCTTCGATTACGGAAAATTCCATCAAAAACACTTACGTTACCACAGTTAATGCTAGTGACGCAGATTTTGGATCATATGGTGCTGTGACGTATTATATTTCTGATCTTAGTAGCGCACTTGGAGATTTATTTAGGGTTGATGAACAAAGTGGGGTCATTTTAACAGCAGGGTCTATCGATTTCGAAAAAGATAAAAAGTTTGAGCTTCAGATCGTTGCAAAGGATCAAGGAGGTCTAACGGATTCCAGCAGGGTGATAATTGAAATAGTAGATATAAATGACAACTCCCCTGCCATAAGCGTGATGTCATTCACCAGTCCTGTGTCAGAGGACTCTCCTCCGGGAACAACAATTGGTCTTATCAGTATAAAAGACCAGGATTCTTGTGATAACGGACAGGTGAGCTGTAAAATTGAAGGAAATGCTCCTTTCAAGATCAAATCGAATCTAAAAAATTATTATACTTTGATAACAGATTCTGTATTAGACCGTGAAAGTATTTCAGAATATACATTTACTGTTGTTGCCACAGACAAAGGAACTCCTCCGCTTTCCACGAAAAGAATATTCAACTTGCAAGTGTCTGACGTAAATGACAACCCCCCCGTTTTTTCTAAGAGAGTTTACAGCGCATTTATTGCAGAAAACAATTCCCCGGGCGTGTCTGTCCTAACACTGACAGCCAAAGACCCCGATGAGAACCAAAACGCTCGCATTTCTTACGTGTTAGAAGGTAAAAATATTGCTGGATCCTCAGTTTCTGAATTTGTTTCTGTGAATATAGAAACAGGAGTTGTTCAAGCAATGCGCTCATTTGATTATGAACTAATTAAGGAACTGGATTTCTGTGTCAAAGCGCAGGATGGAGGTTCTCCTCCACTTAGCACCAACGTAACTGTTAAATTACTTATTCAAGACCAGAACGATAACCCTCCTCAGGTTCTGTATCCAGTCCTGACTGGTAGCTCTGTAGTGGCTGAAATGGTGCCTCGTTCAGCAGATGTGGGCTACCTGGTGACTAAGGTGGTGGCTGTTGATGTGGACTCTGGACAGAACGCCTGGCTCTCCTATAAACTGCAGAAAGCTACAGACAGAGCGCTGTTTGAAGTGGGCTTACAGAATGGAGAAATCAGAACAATCCGCCAGGTGACCGATAAAGATGCTGTGAAACAGAGACTGACTGTTATAGTGGAGGACAACGGGCAGCCCTCTCGTTCAGCTACAGTTATTGTTAACGTGGCGGTGGCGGACAGCTTCCCTGAAGTGCTATCGGAGTTCACTGACTTTCCACATGATAAGGAGTACAATGAAAACCTAACTTTTTATTTAGTGTTAGCTCTGGCTGTGGTCTCCTTCCTCTTCATCACATGTTTGGTGGTTATTATATCAGTGAAGATCTACAGATGGAGACAGTCCCGCATCCTGTATCACTCCAGCCTCCCTGTGATTCCTTATTATCCACCACGTTACTCAGACACTTTGGGAACAGGGACTCTGCCACATGTGTACAATTACGAGGTGTGCAGGACGACTGACTCCAGAAAGAGTGACAATAAGTTCTGCAGAGTTGGTAGTCAGAACCTATTGAATATGGAACCAAGTTCTACAGCAACAATGCAGCGGTTACAGAGCGAGAAAAGCATCATGGATGAACCAGACTCTCCTCTAGAGGTTGGTGAACTTCTGTAGATTATTATTTTGTCCTTTCTTTTTATCTTTTTTGAAATAGCACAACATAGATTGTCCCAGCACCATGGACAAAGTCTTGTTTCTGTATAGAGAAAACTCACTGATTTATCCCAATTCTCCTATGTTTTAGTTTAAGTATGGCCCTACCCTAACTGTTTTTTATTCCTTTTTGTTTGCTTAACTAATGCTTTAATATTTTTAAACTTTACTTTTAAATATATTTATAGAAACAGTGATCCTTAGTTGGCAATGTACTTAAAGTTTATGGATTTGCTCAGACCTTCAAAAACAAAAAAATAGTTAGAAATAGCAAGAGCAACATTAAAATAGTATATATATATATATATATATATATATATATATATATATATATATATATATATATATATATATATATATATATATATATATATATATATATATATATATATATATATATATATATATATATATATATATATATATATATATATGTGTGTGTATATATAAGATATATTTAAGGTATAGATTATAAACATATGATTGTCAGGTTAACAGGTTAAGGTTTAGATTGACATAGAAATATTTATTTTAGGGCCCGCTTGTGCTGATATGAAGTCTTATGTTAAAATAAAGAGCAAAAAAGTTAGAGGTTTCACTGAATGGTTTGAAATTTTACAGGTAGCATTAATTACAAATCAGTCCAACAATACCCATCAAAGTTATAATATCACTATCACCTCCCAATAGTTGCCCAAATTTGTTTAGGATTTCAGAAATATAATTCTATGGTTATGATACAACACCAGAAGGTCCCTACAATAGTACACAAAACTGACTGCACTCCACATGACTGACTATTAAGCATATCTGAGCTAGAAACAGCCCTGTGTTTCACCACCTTTGCAGCCATCTGTTAACCTGTGCAAATACCTTCCTCCAAATCCTTTATAACATGTCCACCTTTGCCTTTATCATAAGGGTTATATAAAAGTTTCTAGAACTTGTTATCACTCTGTTCCCAGTTCCAGTGACCAAGCACCACCAGTCCAACATTTTTAATGATTTAAGGTCAGAGGCATTGATTTCATTATTCTTGTTTATCATGCTTTATCCCTTACACCATAACTTTTTCAGCCAGCATACAAACATGTATATTTAAAAATATACAGATGATAAAACTAATATTAGCCTTCTAAATGAAGTAAAAATGATCAGGATCCTGTCTTAGATAATGTTTTTCAAACTTGTTTTAGACATTCATTCTTGTATTTAGTTTTATGCATGTCTTAGACTAAGTATTTTAAACCTAACCCTACTGGTCCTTGAAGTTGACCATTACAAGACATGGCACCAAGTTTGTTTATACCACTAACCACCCGACCGGTACTGTCAGCATTGTATTTAGGGTTCATTTAAACACCGGAACACTGTGTAATAAAGCTCAGCAATGCCAACTGTGTGTTTTAAAATGTAAACATTTGACATAGACACAACTCTGATATGCATTTCTGATTTTTTTTTTTTTTTTCGCATTGAATCCATTGAAATTTTTCTTTAATTTGCTGGTATTGGAACCACAGAGTAGGAGACAGAACTGCGCTCTCATAAATTAGGAATGTTTGCAGCACAATCCTGGTTCTTACCTTCTTTAATTTAGGGAGGAGCAGGAGCTAGTTGATTTAATGGCTGAGGATCTTGCTTTGTGTAATGATGGCAGTGTGTTTTTATGGATTTCTTGTGGGTTCTCAAGCAGGTTTTATTTTGGATTAGACATAGAATTAGTACCTGTTAATTTAATAGTAGCTCATTATTAGATTTATCTGCATTTACATGCTTTTAGGCA